GAAAATTGGATGAAAATTGCGGATAAATTGGATTTGCTGGAAAGCCAATTAAGATCTCTTAGAAGCTATAAATTCTGATATAAGTGTATAAGCCAACGGTACATTTTCATCTGCCTCCGATTAATCTATGTATAGCTTTACGTGATAAATATCTTCTGAGCGAAAATCAACTTTTAGGATATATTCGCAAAACAATGAGCGGAGAAAAATTCGATTAATTTCTGATTGGTTGAAGCGAATCTCCAACATTTGCCAGTTTATAATGAAGAATCCCTATAATTTTCGTAATATTGACGAATGAGCAAGTGTAGTAGTATGTAGTAGAACTAACATCAGATCATCACTCCGAGTTAAGCAGAAATGATAATGAGATATATAAATTTAGTAACGAACCCAAGATGACTTGGCCTTAACCTGTTCATATTGGCAGGAATACCTAGAGGAATTCACCTAGTCCGTAGTCCAGTGTATACATGATAATTTACAGAGTCGTACCGTGGACTTGGTACAAGGTGCGTTCCTCAAGGTCTACCTGCCAATATGGCCAAGTTGCAAAAACAACCTCAAACAACTTATATACAACTAAAGAAGACTGCGACCATACAAAAGGCCACACCATCCTGGTCGTCATTTTTTGGCCTTAACTGCTTATTGTGATAGCAAACCTGGTGTTTGACTTTGAGCTCGCATTTGGCTCGAAGATTAACAAACTAGTACATAGCTAAATCAAAGATTCCTCCTTTAAAAGAATAACTCCTGGTTTCCAAACTCCTTTTTAAGTTCATGGACGATTTCTATACTTTGTGGAAACATTTACTAAATTTAACGAAAAGCAACTGGGTTTTGATGAATCTCTTGAGATAACGTTGTTGTGGAAACTTTCATTTCATATGAAAGTGCTTGGAAAAAGGATTTGTAGGTTGATCTCACCAAAAGAATACTGCATATTCCCGTTGTTCTGCGGCCTTTTGATTTTTTCTACGACATTTGGGTTAACGCAATGCAGGAGATCTACCTCGGTCCGAGTAAAAATGAGCTGAAGCTTCATCCATCAAATGACAAACATCGGCAGAACTGGAAATCATTCTTGAAAGAGCAGACTAGCTGACTTTACCCTATCTACTATGTATATATTTCGTTTTGAGTAGGTTTTAGAGGCTACCAGTAGATAAGATATATGAACTATGTTCGCCTTATTTCGTTTAGGGTGATGAAGCAAGTAAGGCTATGTGAAATTTGATGAAAATATCACCTCTATTAATATCATTGTGGGGAAATTCAACTACCAGTCCCTCATAATATACTACTTTAAGTAGCATTTTTTATCATGCGTTTAGTTTCAGATGTACGATAATCAGCAAACCGATGAGTTTGAAATTATCCTATCTTGTTCTCAGCATCTGCTTTGTGTTCTGATCGTGGAACCCAGTTGCCTTTACAAGTAATTTTGTGTTCCGCTAACATTCAAAGAATAGGCTAACAGCTCTCACCAACATACGGGCAGAGAATCCTCTAACAGCCGGACCTCTATATTGGGTCATCTTCATAATAACCAGGAATACCATAAAAGGCAAACTCTTATTCTTGTCTAATTTACGTAAAACTTAATAGTTTGTGAGAGTTGGAAACCATCTCGTCTTTTCTTACCATGCAACCGAATGGCAAAGCGGTAATTAATGTATCTAGCTAGCAATTTATGGGGCATTATTACCACTTTCATTTGCTTCAATGAGCTGAACAAGAACCCATCTCAAGTCGTTGCTTCTGTTCATATAACTTACCATCAAATATGAAATAAATACTACTCTTGGATAGGTTAAGAAGTTTTATAATCTTATTTCTTCCGTGATTTCCTGCTGTTACTCCAAAGTAAGCTCCCGAATGGCTCCCGAAACCAGGCCTTTGATTCACATTGATACCTCATCCATCCATATATATATATATTCCTCCAAAATTATCTGATAATCCACTTGTTTTAAACATTCTAGCGAATTTTCATCAGAATATAGTCAGACTTCGGCCACTTTACTTAATTGTCCGAGATTTTGTATATCACACTAGCTTTATTATTTACAACCTACCTAAGGGGACTCCTCTCATTGTACGCAATTGGAAGATTGTAAGGAGTGTTGTGTGTCTTAGCATCTCTTTGAAACAGTGAATCCATTGTATGCTCTTCAATTTACACATGATCTACACACACATTTAGGGCATCCTTAGCCTATTTTTAAGTCTCTCTGTTCAGTCTTTTATTAACGGTCTATATGTATCACGGCTATTTAAATGAATTAATATCTTCTTTGAATAAGCGGATTTACCCATAAAAGCATTGCTACAACTTTTCCTACTTTCATAATAGTCAGAGCAGTGTAGCATAAGTATTTAGAAATGCTAGTCAAAACAAGATTTCTTTGAAGTAGCCAGCTGGTCAAAGTGAGGAATCGACTTAGGCTCTTCACTATTTTTGACTTCCTCAGACAACCTAACTGATAAGCTAATTAAGTCAATCAGTATATCAAGAGTATGGTTTACATCATCCACTAGAGAGAAATTCAATCCTCTTTATAATATAAGTTCTACATAATTCTCCAGAGTTATTCCGGATACATCAAATACCTTATAGTAGTTGTTTTAAATTGTTTTCTTAACTTAATCTTATTGGCAAGAAGGTCTAGAGGAACGCACATAGTCCGGATTCCATAGCATGCATGATAATTTCCAGGCGCATCATGGACTTGGTACATTTTAGACATTTTGCCGGCATCGTCAGTGAGTATCGCCATTATTAGCACCATACAACAACTCATCAAAGAGACAAATGAAGTCAATCGCTTGACCATTTTTCTGGGCTATTCAGCTATTCTATATCCTCATATCACCTTTTCATTATCACAATTTCTTAATTGCTTATTTAAGTGTGGTTTGGTAGGGATAAGATAGCAAACCTATCTTCAATCCCTCTTGCTTCTGAAACCATGGATCTCCAAAAGGAAGGGTTAAATTCTTCCCTAAGTAACGAAAGAAACATTCCTGATGATATTATTGTGGAAGTTGTCAGAAGAGACAAAGCGGGAGATGAAAATGGAGATAATCCCACGAATCCTGTGAATGTACCACATCCACGGTCCGACTTTGGAAATTATGATGCATACCATGGACTCCGGACTAGGTGCGTTGCTCTAGATATTCCTACTAATATGACCAAGTTGTGAAACCAAGGTCAAACAACTTCTTAATTATTTTAACTTGCTTGGAGATAGTTTTATTTGTTTTTAGTATTTCGAGAAGACAGATGACAAGAATTTTGGTTACGCGTGCGTTGTAGCTACGACGAGTTACTGGGTTTAGATTCGGTAAAATTGTTGTTGAGACCCTGATTTTGTATGCTAGTGCATGATGAATAGATTCGTAGAGTCGGCTCACCAGAAGACAATGGCTGATTCTAGTTTTCCTGCCATCACCTGAGTTTACTATGAAGTTGAGATTGAGCAGGTTCTCGATTCATCCTCACTTGTTTTGAGTAAAAAGGGGCAACCTTTCGCCTGTCATACGGCAGACTT